ACTTTCTTCCTCCTGCTGTCTAGTACTGTAGAATTTGGAAAGTACTGTAGCTTTTCTGTGAATGGTTCCATAGACGCTTTTGATTTTGTTTATAATATCCGAAATATTCGCATCAGGTCTTAAAACCAGAATAAACCGAGCACCAATCCGAGCAAACTATTCCGAGCTGCTGCTGACCCGTCAAACCCGCCGTGTGCTCCTTGTCATGATCGGGAAATAACGGGAAAATCCGTCGACAATTCAGTGTGTAAATAATGGCCTAACAATTAGTATGAAAAACGTCAGTCAGCATTTGACTCAATGATAAATTGTATTTGCTGACAAGGTCATTGTATCGACCATAGAACTTAGGAAATGATGACTTTAAACGAGACAGCTGATATTCTTGTTTCATCAACTTGTTTGTCAATAATTTACCTCGTTTTATAAATTGTACATACGTAGAGCATGCTCTTGCGTATCGAATCAACTGAGAGATATAAACCCCTATGCAGGTGATGAGGGTATATTGCTGCATAAGTAAGGGAAGTTGACGATTGAAAAGTTAAAGTCATGTTTATCATAAATCTTGGTTGTTAGAATACCATTATCGTCTTTTTTCTAGTAAAATATCCAAATATGAAACAGATGTGTCAGACTCTGTGGTATCTTTTATCTCAAGCTCACCTGGATATATCGACATAAGAATGGAAATAACCATTATTAATTGACAATACGTCGTCGATATATCTGAATGCCGAGTTGAAGGCCACAGCAAGTGTTTTCTTCTTTTCACGTATAAGATTTTGAACAAATTCTGTCTCATATGAATACAAAAATAGGTCTGCTAATTACGGGGTGCAATTGGTACCCATTGGTATTATGGTATCCATTTCCATACCCTTCACAGCATCTTCTTCATCTTTTTTTTGTGTTTTTTCCTCCTCTAATGGCTCTCCTTCCATTTCTCCAGGCTTTGATGAATCTTACTCTGCCTCTTTTGATAGAGGAAATTCAATTTTCTCAGTTTCTCAGTTTCTCTGTTTCTTAATCAGGGTTTCTCTTCCTTTGTTGCCTTCTTATAATTCACAAGTTTTACAGGTGTGTACTCCACTGCCAAGAGTTTCTGTTTTACTGTATGGAGTCTTCTAAAAATCTTTACTTGGGGACTCTGTTTCCTGTTTAACCCTTGCCTGTTCCTCTTTATCGACAAACCTATCTCCTTCTTTCAAATCAGAATTTCCCGAAGTCTAAGAAGTAGGTTCAGACAATGACATTTTTGTTTTGCTTGTTGTTTCTGGCCCACAATACCCAGTACAGTTAAGGCTATAAAAAAGAGGCGGAGCCTAATTTATACGGGAAACGTTTTGTATGACGTAACACATAAACATCAGATCTTCAAACTACCACAAAAGGAAATTATTTGCCATTTCAAACTGTTTCATAACTCTATACTACATCAAAACGTACTAGTATGTGCAGTTTTGTCATTAATTTAATCCCACACAACAAGATATAACCAATTCCTTGATCGCAATGCACTTGTCAATTTGACGTCATATCGAAGAAGTTTTCACAGTTTGTACGCAATGAGAGACTGATCAAGTTACATTTTATTCAATGAAAAATGTATTTTGTAATCAAATAAAATATTATTTGCAGATAGATAATATGCCATTAACTTGGATGTGGTGTCTATTTTACGATTTTATTCATATACTTTCCGTACATTCCCTAGACAAGAGATACTGTTGCATATTTGTATACAGATTCAGTGAAGGGTAACAAAGGAGATTTAATAAATTGATACATAGCAAGGGCGTGCTCTCACTGGATCGTGCCAAGCTTTTACATATGAACTTAAGAAGCATTAAGGTATTTGAAAAGTGCTGCGAACCTGGTGAAATCTTGTAAATGAATAAATTATATCTTTATTTAATGCAGTTGACCAGCAAAATATTCAACATGCGTTCTAAGAAATGTAATTTTAGCAATTTAATAGTAGAAACAATATAGGTTTGCAGCATTTTTTACAAACTACACAGAGTGTTGAAAAGAATTCTAAATCAAACTTAGATTTCTAACTTGGTTATACACTTGCAATTTTGGAATTTATGGAAGACTTCAGTGCTGCAAGTATATTTGCTTAAATCACCTGAATCCCAAATCACGTGACAAGTCTAAATAAAAAAACTAATCGTTCTAAACATGTAGATTTGAATCATATTACATCTGTCCGATATCAGTAAAGTCCTTCTAAGGAATGCATTTTTTTATCTGAAAAAATTCGACGATCTTTCCGTTTTGGCACTTCCTCTGACTAAAAAAACTGCTCATTGACCTTTAAGCTTCTTCCATTTCCTTTTACTGTGGCTGACTTCCTGTTGTGGGCTTCTTCATTACTCTGGCTAACTGTATCATCTTCCTTTTTACTCTGCTCAGACTGACTTTGATCAGTTGAGCTTCCACGTTCCTCCTTTCCATTTTGTATTGAGGATCCCTCTGGTAGCGTTATATCCTCTTGATCTCTAGGAATGTCCAAGTCTTTAGTGGGTCCCTGTAACAAGGATGGTAAAGATTTATTGACTTGAAAAATTTAAAATAAAACAGAACAATTCATGCTTGTGAATCAAAAATAAACTCTTGTCAAACATAAGTGGAATATTGAAGATCTTTATCTAATATTGAGGTACAAAAATATTATCGGAAATAAGTATAATCTATAACAATAATAAAATAGGAAACTTCATAAAACAAGTTATGGCGAAGAAAGAGGCTGATATATTACTACCGGACACCTGGTCCTTGCTTTCAGATAGTTAAGGCTACAATAAGGTGGTAGGGACTAATTAATATGGGAGATGTTTACTGTGAAATCAAACAAAAATATGACTCCTCAAAAAATACCAAAAATTGAAATAATTCATGGTTTAAAGCAGTATAAGAGCAATGAATAAATCAAAACTTACATATGAAATCATTTTTTTTATTTTTTAATGTATTTATTTATTTTTTTTTTCTTCTTTTTTGCTAGAAAAATCCACACAACACATAATCAACAAGTTACTGATCACAATGTACTTATCGGCATGAAGTCATCATGGAAAAAATCTGGCGCATTTTATTGAAATGATAGGCATATCAAGTGATATTTTACAATGAAAAATGCATTTTTTTTTATTTTTCAGAATATTATTAATAATGTTAGATAGGTCATGAACATTAACGCGAAACATTTGTTTTGTACCACTATTTAATTAAAATCAAGAAAATGTATTGAATTAATTCTACCGTGTTTCTGTGTTCCGGGCTGGCATGTTTAACTTTGAGGTGCCTCTGTAAGTCGCATTTCCGCAAGGGCATACGCTTAAGAGATCATGACCATTTCTTGAATGTACATAAAGGGTATTTTCCTAAATTTGAATAGTATTTCTGCTTTTGTGAAATCGAGAGTATTACTATAGAAATACATAAAATACTTTGTAAAAGTCACACATATTTCAACTTGAGCATAATTACTTCAAAGTTAAACTAATAAAATACGAATTCTGTTTGAAGCAGCAGCACTTTTTCCGAATTTACGTGATACGTAGACACAATGAATCACTTAAATTCTTAAAACAATTACAAATACAATTTATCGTTGAGTCAAATGCTGACTGACGTTTTTCATACTAATTGTTAGGTCATTATTTACACACTGAATTGTCGACGGATTTTTCCGTTTTTTCCCGATCATGACAAGGAGCACACGGCGGGTGTGACCGGTCGGCAGGGGATGCTCACTCCTCCATGGCACCTGATCCCACCTCTGATGTTTGGAGGTCGATGTTTGCTCTGGTCTATTTTGTATTGTTTAATGGACTTTTGAGCTTGAAAACAGTTCGTTATCTCCATATATTTTATTTTATTAGGATATGCCCTTGCGATATTGAAATTTGTGTATGACCTTCGTGCAGTGCATATTTTATGCATTTATCCCGTGACTGGCTAAGCAGGTGGCCAAACTAAATTCCCTACCATAATATATGGCGATAACAAGCAGAATTCAAGCTCAGAAGTCCATCCAAACAATGCAAATCAGGTGCAGAGCAAACACGGACCTCTGAATCATTAGAGGAGGGATCAGGTGCCATGGAGGAATGAGCCTCCCTTGCCTACCCCCCACCCCCCACCCACGTGCTCCTTGTCATGATCGGGAAATAACGGAAAAATTTGCCGACAACTCTGTGTAAATAATGGTCTAACAACCAGTGCAAAAACTCACTCAGCATTTGAATTAATGATAGACTGTATTTTCTGACAAGGTCATTGTATGAACAATAAAACTCACGAAATGATAACTTTAAACTAGAATGTTGACATTCTTGTTTCATTAACTTGTTTGTCAAAACAATCTCTCTTTAGAAATTGCTTATACGTAGAGTGGTGTACTATGGTAGTTCAAATAATATTACGGACATTTGATAAGGTAAAATTTCCACAAAAATAAATTCAGTTTTAAAGGGCATCTATTTATGCACTTCTATATTTCTTCAATTTTTTCGTAGTACACATTACCAGTGCTGCGTGATTGCATAGCTTTGAAAAAAAATTCTGTCAAATAAAAAGTATTACTCACTATATTCAAGAAAGTAAAAACGCAATAGATTTAGGAATGATAATTGCAAAAAACTGGTGTGTTTGAAGACTACACATTATAGCTCAGAAATTTAACGGCAGCTAACATGAACAATTTTAAATTGTATTGGATATTATTTTATGAAGCAATGTCAGTATTACAAATTAACGACTTAACATTTTAGCCGGACTGTAACTAGAAATGGATTTTATTATTGTACATAAGGAAATGTAATACTTCCGGCTCAGCAGGTACTTAAACTTGAGAAAATATTAAAATTAACACTTACGAGAAGACGAGGAGAAAGTTTAATCATGGCAATAGTATGGACAACTTTGTTAGTGTCCAGCTTGGTATTCAAAAGTTCCCAGTACATTTATGAGAATGATAAAGATGGCTGCAACGGTCATGAAAAAAATACTGGATCAATTTCTTCATTTCTGACCGAGCTGAGAAAGATTCAGCGTGACGTAGATCAACTACGGCGGGAAAACATTGTTATCAGGAATTTGCTGAAATGTATGTATTGTAGAATCACTTTATTTCCATTTAGAGGTAAATGTTGGCACAAATTGTCGCCCCTGCAAATTATGTCATATATGAACGTATTATTGTAACTTTTGTATATATTACTGTTTGAAAATTTATGTGCATATTTGCATGGCACATATTCTGCCCATCTGTATAAAATGTATTCCCAAGAAAAACACATATCTGTACACCTTAAATCTAACTGTCTCTTGCTGCAATCATTGTCGTCTTCATCAATGATGATACGTTTGAAATTATTGCTATTATTGAACTCATACAATGATTGGTTGTTTGTAACTGCTTAATCGAAAATATTTCATTCAAAATTGTTGCAAAAACTGATTTTTTAGAAATATAATCATTATATTAACTTCAGACACCTCGACATAATTTACGTCATTGTAAAATAAAAATTAGATAAAAGATAAAATGCAAAATGTGAATATAACAGTGATCCACTCATAAATGCAATAATAAACCAAATTGTGAATAAGGCAAAAACAGGGATCGCAGCAGAGGGGAATGATTGAATTGGAATTGATTGCATAGGAGGAGTAAGTATCCCTTGTCGACTGGTGACGCCCCTTGTGAGCCCTACGTATCGATCAGTTAGACGAAGTACACTGAAAGCATATTTAAGAAACATAATTAAATACGATTCAACGAAAGGTCCTGTATTCAATGAAATCCATCATCTCGAGCGCATAATTTGCAAAAAAAATATTAATTTAAGGAGGTTGTCGAAATTGATTAAGCCTCAACTTATTCGCAGTATCTTGTCTTGTTTTAAAATTTAATCATATTTAGATCATGTTTTTGCATACCGAATTAGTTGCGAGACATAACTATACACAGAACTATCCTAATGAAAATTAATTTATGTAAATAGTCAATTCGCTCCAAAGTTCTCCTTTTAAAACAAGAGGCCCAAGGGCCTTAACGGTCACCTGAGTATAATACAACAATTTAGAAGTTAAATACACTGACAGATGAAGCTTTTTTGCCCTAAAGCAAGAGAAGTAGGAAGATCAGGATCAACAAAATAATTAGTCTAGTATTCAGTATCAACTCATAAATTAAGTTCTAATCTGTGCTCCACTTAACACTATCACCATGCAGACTATTAACAAACTATTAGTGCTTCTGTACTATTTTTAAACCCATATTAAGACCTCTAGCATTGACCTCTCTTATGGTCTTTGAAGAACTTTTAATAAGATAAATTATTTTTGTCTCATTTTTATTTATCTATTACTTACAGGTCTACCTGATTATTAAAACTAAGAAAATACTTTTTGAATTATATGATAAACATTCTTGCATAATTATTTTATTCTATTTACCTTTCAAATACATTACTTACAGTGATTAATTATCAAAAGTGAACGGAAAAGGGGAATAACTTCTCTCAGTAGAATACAAATTAATAGAGCCCTGCCCAGGACTAGAATGCTTAGACAAATGGTCCAGATGTTCAAAAATCTGGTAGAAATACGCTTACTTATATCATTTAAACTTTTACTCAGTTTTCTTCCGATATGCCCAGAAGCAGAGAAGAATTTCACAGGTACAATGCATTTTCACTACAGATTCAACAAAGCCTTACCCTAACACCAGAACCCAAGACCAAGGGTCAAGAAATTTACAGATTTGGAAGAGTTACCCTCATCATCATAACTATGGACTTCGAAGAATTAACACTTTTCCACTATATTATCAAAAGCCCCCCCCCCCCCTTCGTTATGCCAGAACCCCTGACCCTAGGACCACAAGATTTAAAAATTCTGTTCGAAGCTCCCATTTTCATCATAGCTAAGCAATTTATTTATCAGCTCAATGCTAAGGAGCAGACAGGATCAATTAATGATTAATTAATAGAATTAATGCTTTTTCACTATATAATCAATAGAGCCCCCCCCCTCTTCCTCAAGAGCCCCAAAAACTGAAGCCACATATTTAAAAATTTTGGAAGAAGCATCCTTGCCTATCATAATCATGCACTTAGTTTGTTTAAATAATCTCCAGTAGCAGAGAAGATTTTCAAAGAATCAATGCATTTTCACTATATAATCAATAGAGCCCCGCCCTAACACCAGAACCCCTGACCCTCGGGCCATGAAATTCAAAATTTTTGAAAAGGCACTTTTGCTCATCATAACTATGTACTTAGTTACTTTATTTAATACCCAGGAGCAGAGAAGAAGATTTTCAAAGAATTTATGCTTTTTCACTATATAATCTATAGAGCCCCGCCCTAACAAAAGAACCCCTGACCCAGGGGCCATGAATTTCACAATTTTGGAACAGGCACTCTTGCTCTTCATAACTATGTACTTAGTTACTTTATTTAATACCCAGGAGCAGAGAAGAAGATTTTCAAAGAAATAATGCACTTTCACTACATGATGTATATAGCCCCACCCTGGGGCCAGAACCCCTGACCCTGGGGCCATGAATTTCACAATTTTGGAACAGGCACTCTTGCTCATCATAACTATGTACTTAGTTACTTTTTTTAATACCCAGGAGCACAGAAGAAAATTTTCAAAGAATTAATGCATTTTCACTATATAATCAATAGAGCCCCGCCCTAACACCAGAACCCCTGACCCTGGGGCCATGAATTTCACAATTTTGGAAGAGGCACTCTTGCTCTTCATAACTATGTACTTAGTTACTTTATTTAATACCCAGGAGCAGAGAAGAAGATTTTCAAAGAAATAATGCACTTTCACTATATGATGTATATAGCCCCACCCTGGGGCCAGAACCCCTGACCCTGGGGCCATGAATTTCACAATTTCTGAAGAGGACTTCTTGCTCATCATAACTATGTACTTAGTTACTTTTTTTAATACCCAGGAGCACAGAAGAAAATTTTCAAAGAGTTAATGCATTTTCACTATATAATCTATAGAGCCCCGCCCTAACACCAGAACCCCTGACCCTGGGGCCATGAATTTCACAATTTTGGAAGAGGTACTCTTGCTCTTCATAACTATGTACTTAGTTACTTTATTTAATACCCAGGAGCAGAGAAGAAGATTTTCAAAGAAATAATGCACTTTCACTACATGATGTATATAGCCCCACCCTGGGGCCAGAACCCCTGACCCTGGGGCCATGAATTTCACAATTTCTGAAGAGGACTTCTTGCTCATCATAACTATGTACTTAGTTACTTTATCTAATACCCAGGAGCACCGAAGAAGATTTTCAAAGAATTAATGCATTTTCACTATATAATCAATAGAGCCCCGCCCTAACACCAGAACCCCTGACCCTGGGGCCATGAATTTCACAATTTTGGTAGAGGGCTCAATGCTTGTTACAATGATGCCAGCAGTTTGACTGCTTGATGTCCTGGAGTAAAGAAGAAGATTTTTAAAGATTGCATTATTTTTGGTGGTTTTAGCCCCAACCCTCAGGCCCCAGGGGGGCAGGGACCATGAAATTCACAATTTTTGTTCCCCTTCACCCATAGATGCTATATGCCAAATTTGGTTGAAATTGGTTAAGCGGTTTCAGAGAAGAAGCTAAAAATGTTCAAATGTTAACACACGACGCACGACGCACGCCGACGGACGAGAACGGATAGCAATAGGTCACCTGAGTGACTCAGGTGACCTAATAAAATCGATATTCGATATATAAATTTCTCAGATAAAGTCGTTTTCCAGAAGTGCTTGATTTTGATTACTTTTGCCTGAATGGATTATAATTTCAAAACGCTCTATATGCATCGGTTTGAGACATTATGAATAAAAAAGACAATGTATATAGAATTTTGGCGCACTAATATGTAATAGAGTGTTAATTCTGAACTTCTCAATTCAACAGACACGCATGAAATTTCACTATTGACTGGGACACATAGATATATGTTCAAATCCACAGTTTGTAAATGACATATAAGACTTATTCAAAGTGTGAAGTACATGTATATAACAAAAAGAGCCAAAGAAATACATTAGCCCAAAATTTTCTCCAATTTACATTATGTGTTGGGAAGAGAGCCACAAATTGCAACAGAAATGAAGGATGTTTTAATAAATAATTTTTGAAGACATATTCATATTTTTCATACCTGCGATATTACTCCATTTGTAGCTCTGCCTTCGAGAATTAAAAGTGGCTATTGTATGGTGATTCAATTTGTAGTCCTGACTACAGGACAAAGCAATAGTTATTATCTACATTTTTATGTATCCCAATAGATTCGATATACTAGATCTCATTGTTCTGTTTACAATAAATTTCTAAATCAAAGCAGCCACTGAAATGTAAGATAATGTTTCAATGGTGTCAAAATTCTTGTTTAAAGTCAATATTTCGGAAATTCGCACTGTCACAGTAGCTCAGTCGGTAGAACGTTCGTTTTGTAATCAGGAGGTCATGGGTTCGAACTCCGACCACACTTGACCTAAGTCGATAAAAATAAGTAGCAACTGTTCCTTCGCCAAGCGCTTGACACTTTGAAGTAAAAAAGACCTTAAAAGCAGTTTTCAGGGTTTTGTGAAAGTTCTGCTCAGAATTTGCTTTTTTTTTTGGACCTAAAGCATGATTACTTTTACTTCGGGTACAAGGCATAGCAGTACCTGTTGAACGTTGATTCAATTAGTAGACCTGGTTACAAGATTTGGAATTAGCTTTTATATGTTCATTTTCGTTCAACTAAAATTCTCACTTTCTTTTTTTATTACTTTTTTATATCGAGATATTAAGCTCAGGTATGGATCTTTGTAATCTTGTCCTGTGCTTTGTTTTCTTATATTCATATAAAAAATCAATATAATAAAATTATATGCCATTGAACACTTTAAATTGCAATACATGTTTGGGATATTTGGGATCCTATTGAGGTGAATAACAGTTTCAAACCAATTTATGATGGTCTGCACTCAGTATTTATTTGGTTTAAGTCCCTATTCTAATAAATAAAGATCTTTGTCATGAACCAGCAGCTCAGCATCCAAATTATACACTTT